CCACGCCCTGCTGAAGAAGAGAGATAGAGAGAGAGAGAGAGAGAGCCTGCGGACTGCAGGTGCGCGTTCGCGTGCGGCAGGGGTAGCGTCCGCTGCCTCTGTCCTACCTGGCAGAGAGAGAGAGAGAGAGAGAGAGAGAGAGAGAGAGAGAGGGGCTTAGAGAATCAGGGGGTTTAGGGGTTCAGGGGCTCAGGGTTTACATAGGGTTCAGGGGTTTTAGGGGTTCAGGGGTTTAAGGTTTGCTTTAGGGGCTCATTTACTTCCCAGCAGGGGTTTAAGGTTTGCTTTAGGCGCTCATTTACTTCCCAGCAGAGGCTTTGCAGGCTGGATGCAAAAAGGGGTTTAGGGGTTTACGGGTTCAGGGTTTAGGGGTTTGGTAGGGGGTTTGGGGGTTTGGGTTTTCGTTGTGCCACCATGTCCTGCGAATGCGAAATCCCCGTTAAGAGTCCTGCAAGCCGTTAACCCCAAATCCTGTCATGATCTTTCGGATTTCGGGCAGTACGTGGTTGAAGCTCAGTGTAGCGTTTTAGTTGAGGGTTGCGTCGGTGTTGTTCAAAACTCCTTGAGTGCTTTACCGTGCGTGCTGAGAGAGTCGAGTTTTTTCTGTTCTCCAATAGGCTCAGCAGCAGTGACCTATCATCGAGGCTTGCATCGGGTCAAAACCTAGAGCGGACGATAAGAATTAGAGCATTCCTAGCCCCTGACATGATTGAGGGAATGCTGTTGGCCAAGACTTTTACAGGTCATCATGTAAGAGACGTACAAACCTCTGATCCCGAGGCATGACCCCTAATACAGAATGATCGCTCTTGCCCGCATTGCCGGAGTCCAATGTGATTGAAACGTTCAGGACTTTGTAAGCCTCTGGCCTACAATCTGCTGAGGTCGTGAAAATGCGCCATCGAAAGCATCCAACTTGCTCAGGCTTCCTGCCGAGACTCGGCTGCTCGAGTGGAGGAAGGTTTTGGGTGCGTTCGGTTTTTTGTATCATCCGTTTCTTATGATCGCGATCCGACCACTTTGGGGCCAGACGAGGGATTCCTGATTTTCTCTGAATTCCCTAGTACATACGGGAGTCTCCGAATATGAGGGGTACCTTAATTTTACGGTCCTTATAATAAGGATCCTACTACAAGTATTTAGGGTATTATATTCGGGCCCCCTATTTTCGGAAACCCCCATACTGCTGCGCAAATGTCTAGTAGCGAAAGGTTTCCGAATGATTCCCTGTGAACGCTAAGGTGCAGTGTACTTAAGAAGCATGCTAGAAGAGACCGTAATTTGGAACAAGCCACAGACTGGGCTGCTTCTGCGGAATGTCAGGAATCTAAGGAGGCATGTGTTTCCTCCAGCTGTCAACTGTGAACTCGTCCGATTTCAGCTTTGGAGTGTGTTTCGCATGATGCTTGCGACTCACATCGCAGATCAGCGATGTTGGAATGCAGCCCCTCAGTGTCAGTAGTCTTCAACCGACCCTTCCTCAAGAAGTTGCATGAGAATCTAAACGCTCCCTTCAGGATTGCAGAGCCCCTGGATGCGGTGGTCGAGATGGACCGCAAGCCGCTGAGGCGCACAAGATCCGGCGCTAGCCAGAGCCACTCCTCGCCTGAGCGGCTTGGCAATTGTCCAGAGGTGATACTAAACCCTAAACCCTAGCCTGGTAGCTTGCATGGGGATGTAACTGCTTCCTGCGTAAGGCCATGCTGACAATGTTGACCTTCAGACTATTTGAGACTTTCAGACGTTGGTGTCCCGCATGGCGCAACAAATGAGGACACCAGGCACACTTGGCCATCGCAATAAGAAGAAGGACTTTACTAAAAGTCGGAGATCACCCTACGTTGAAGAATATTTGTCTACAGCGGCGAGTGTCAGGGTAAGGTGAAACCTTCCAGCCATATCAATACGACCCCAAATCCAGCACCATAACGGGCATCATGCAGAGTAACAGTTGCAGGCCTTTCGGGAATCGAAGACTGATATGCCCAGGGTGTCCATAACGTTGGACATGGTGACTGGTGGCCGCAAGCCCTCGGTACCTTCGATGGTGACCACAGCGAACACTTCGAGCAGTCCGGCGCCGCCTAAACGTAGAAGCAGCGCTCGATGGCATCTGTAGCTAGAAGTGGGCATCTGTAACCTTTGAGGATTTTCCAGCCCTGCTCAAAGGGATCCAGCCGGGCCATACCCGATGAACTATTTTGCCGCCTGGCTCATGACTTTGTGCGACAGAGTCGCTCATCGCCTGAAGCCATGGGCAATAACTTCTGAAGCCACGCGCTTGAAAATCGCAGACGCAGCGTGCCTGGTGGTGCGCCTGTTGTTGTTACTGTTGTCCTTCCTATTATCATGGCCTGGGGTGTTCTAACCATGTTGCTTCCCATGTGATTATCATGTCGATTATTATGGTTGATGATGGGCAGCTCTTGATTCTTGTTAAGGAACTTACTTTAAGTTAGCACAATAAACAAACCATATGATACACCATAGATCCACATTTTCCATCGACTCTGTTTTTCAATTCGCCGGCCCCGCCCTGCCGTGAAACGGCTGTCGCACAGGATTCGAGGCCTGGGCAGATCACCAGTCTCGCAGGTTTAGGGTTTAGCCATAAAAGGTATAGGGTTTGTCCTCAAGCCCGGCAGCCAAAAGGGATCTAGGGTTTAGGGCTCAGGGATCTCGCGAATCTAAACCCAACTCTTAAGCCTTCTCAGCTTGAAACCCTAAAGCCTAGAGTCCTAAACTTCGGTGCTGTTGGAAGCCAGGCTCCACAGAAAGTCTTGACCACGCATGCGCAAGGTAACGGGACTGCCCCAGAGTACGTAGAAGCTCTACGAAGGAACACCGGCAAGGACACTCGCTGCCTCCAAGAATATCGCTCGTCAAAACTGAATCGAGATAGACTGGTGTAGCAGGCTCAGATGACATAAGTGCTCTGTGGACAGTTTTGGGCACAAAACCATTGATCAAGAAGCATGCCAATCTTGCAGATTATATTGTACATCCTGCCATCCACTGCGATGTATGTGCGAGGCTTTCATGCGTAGGTTGGGGTTCAGGACGTCAAAGTGGCATTGACCGTTTCTGCACAGAGCTTTTCAATAAACATAGGGGCCCGTACCCGTGCTGTGCCTTAGGGTTTATTGCATAATACAGTTCTACCGACTTGTGATGTTTCCCCAAGGCCCAGTGTCGTTAAAAAGGCCCCTTTATCATACAACCCATATAGAACACTTTTCAAGTTCCCAACAAGCCCAAGGTTCCTCATGACTCAGGGCCCCTATGGTAGGTTCGATTAGTGGAGCCATGCTTTGGGGGATCAGTGGCCGAGCCTTGGGGTCTTCCGGCTATATGCGCTGAGGGTTTTGGGTTAAGGGTGTTCAGGGGATATCTACATGATTCGACATGGGTACTTCTCAATATTAGGGCACCCTTTGGGTCCTTATTAGTATTATCATACGGCACCTAATATTTAAGGTACCCAAAATGGACCATAATTTTGACAACCACCCACCTGTGCACATGCCAAGTTGCAAGAGAACCAACGAAGTTCTTACAAGCAACAGATGCAGCGATGACTCGGTTGCTAGTGCTAAATGGTGACAACAACGAGCGGTACTCCTGGGAGATCGTGATGACACGGCCATGTGGGGGCCCAGTTCAACAGTAGCAATAATACGTAGTAACACAAACACTACTAACAGTAGTACCTGTACAATATGTATAAGTAGTAGTAGCAATGGTGCCAGTGTACTAATGGTATCCATTGTCCAAAGCCAAGATCTTTGCTCGGCGCTGATCTCCCTCGTAGGCCCGAGTTGCCACACAATGATTCTGCTTCTTGAGCCCCGTCGTGCAGGGGCTATTCCTGTCATGCGGGGTTTGACGCGCACAGCTGTGCCCATCGGATGCGGAGAGGGATTGCAAAGACGACGGAACGGCACCGGAGCTTTGTGAAAAAGACGAGCTCCGAGATGCAGGTTCAGCCGACAGCGAGCCTGACGGTATTCTTCGGAAACTCGCCATGTGTTTTGTGCATTAACTGCACGCGGAATTTCGGGGGCTGAGTGGCTTGTGGGGTCCAGTGATGAGCGTGTGGTGTGTGACCTTGGCTCTCGCAGTCTCTCACCTTCCAATCCGGCAGGGGGCATGGCCTAACATGAGTCCACGTCGCTGCAGCCTTCGCTGAACAGGATATGGCGGGACAAAAGCACAGCAACGCGCCATTTTCTTGTCCAGCAACATCGACGGGGAGATTCAAGGTTCCCTGAACTCTGAACCCTACACCAAGACGAAGCAATATCACCGTTGAAAAGGCAGGGTCTCCCGTCACATAGCCTCCAACTCTGCACGTTACGTGCCAGTACATCCTCACAGCACATTGTGTCATGCAAGGGGAAGAGAGAGAGAGAGAGAGAGAGAGAGAGAGAGGCTTGGCCGGGGGGCCTGACAAGCCCCTTAAGCCCTGCAGAAGAAGAGGCTTTTGTTGTACGTGGCAGTATTGATGACATATGCATACGTACATACATGCAATTGGATGCCACCTGGTTGCTCGCTTATTCATTGTAGAGGTGCTGCACTGACTCGAGTTTTTTCATGGTGTAGTTATTCGGAGAAAGCCATAAGACTTGTATGAAGGCCCTAGTGTAGGCATGCACTTTAAACAAGCGCAATGACCGGTATCCTCGCCCGCTTCGACGATTGCGAGTGCCAAAAAGTGCATTGCATACATGTACACATGTGTATGTATATGCATATACACATGTGTACGTACAAATAAGGACAGCTTTCTACCCTGTGCCTCCGTCTAGCCACCTGTCACCCATGTACGCCTGCCGTCCTACACTTGCTTAATATCTTACCTGCTTACCTGACTGACAGCTTAATATAGGGGCCTTAATAATTAGAATGGGGTTTGGGGTATATTATACTATATATAGAATCAGGAACCCCGAAAACCTTATTCTAATTTTTAAGGCCCTTACATTATGCACTGCAAGGCGGGCCACTATGACGTCGTAGTGATCGGCGCTGGCTCCGGCGGCCTCACGGCTGCCCGCACAGCAGTGGCTTGACGGCAGCTTCTGTGGATCAGGCTCGGAGCTTCGAGGCGCTCGGGTCCTGGAAATGTCTCTCTCTCCCTCTCTCTCTCTCTCTCTCTCTCTCTCTCTCTCTCTCTCTCTCCCTCCCTCTCTCTATACATATAACATGTGTGTATATATAATATATAGTATATATATATGTATACATTTAATTAAATATATGTATATATATATATATATATATATATATATATACTTTTTTCTATACACATTCACTGTTTGTTTGATGCAGCGGTTAGTCCCTATAGGCCAAGTCCCACACCTCGGGCTGGTGAGGTAGCCTCCTAGTCTGGCGGACGACGCACGCCGTTTGTAAGCGCTTTGGGTTAGGTCCCAAATTGGCGGCCTGCTGTGCTTTCATGCGTGCCTATGGGTCAAAGCCATACTAGGGCTGGCTTGCTTTGTTTTTTGGCGTGAACCTACCCGTAAAACAGCACTGCAGCCGAGCCAAGCCTACAAGTTCTGTAAGTGATACGCTTGAAGTTCTGTTTTTTCTTACAACCGCACGTGCTCAGTCAGGGCACCGCCGCGTGAAGCAAAGCAAGTCTTGTTGCCTAGTTTTTGGCAGTTTGCTGCGAGGCGAGACTGGCTAGCTATGGGGCCGTTTCTAGCTTTGCTTGCTGTTTTTTTCGCGTGGCTTGGTCCATCCGTATGGTTATACTGGCTGGTTGGCTGAACTTGCCCTATAGTGCTGGTCATTCATGAACTACCCTGATGCCCGCCAAATGTGTGGGACGACCCACGCAACGTCTGAATAAAAAATAATGTTTCGCGGGTCATCTAACATACTACATCCTAATGCTGAACCTGAGGCGTGTCATGCACAGTCCTTGCTTGACTTCAACCATCTTAGGCCCGTTTCGGTGCACGAACTTTGCTGGTGGAGCGACTGCCCCGTTTGGGCGGCGATTGCACCTGGCAACTCGGTGGAGGAGAAGACTGTTGTAATATAGGTGATTTCATAGTCAGAAGAAGAGCCCGCTTGCATCTCATATTGCAAAAGAGCGAACATTGAATGAGCAGTATAAGTTATCAGATCTTGTCTTTGCCATGTTCGCACATGATGACTTTTCTGGTGTTTACTATTTGTGTTGTTGTATGTTGTTGTGCTGAGGGTTGTATTTTGCTGCTGTAGTGAGTATGAACATCTTGATCGGCATTGTCATTTCTTTTCTGCGGTTGTATGTTCTTGGTGATGTGTGGGGGACTAGCATCGTAGGGGTCTGGCGACCTTTCCGGAGTTCCCTTCTTTGTGGTTGGTTTCAAAGAAGACGACGCTGAAAGAACGCGCGTGAAGCCTACAGCGCCGGCCAGCTGAGCGGGCGGCCGGCAAGGCAAACTTGAATGCCGAGCCCCAAACCAGCAACATAGCAATCGTATCTTTGTACAGTTGTACATCTACGGCCCTCAGGCTAGGAACTAGACTCAGCTTGACACGTGAAGTCAAAGCCCAGCATGAGCTTGAGGAGCCAAAGGCACTTCCGATCTTCAATATTCGGCCTGAAGAGATGTTTGAGTCGACTGGGAGGTTCGGTAGTTTTAAGTACGACCGCGAGTCCTTCGGGGATTTCGCGTCCTTACGACCTCCTAACACCCCAAACCCTGAGTCCGAACTCACTGGAACACACAGAGAGCTTGATTGCCAGGTATGGCTGCGTTCCCTCGAAGGCCTCGGATCAATCCCTATGGCGGGTGTGCTGTGCAAGCTTTCAGGAGGTCTCCAAGGCTTTTGTCATGGACTTCACTAAACTCGAAGTGTCGGGCTTCGGGGAATCATGTTCAAAGTTGAGGATATGAGGCGTTCGTGCGTTCTTGGTAGTTTTGTCACCGGGCAAAGCTTTGAGACGCTGCCAGCCTAAACGATATGCCCCGGGAGCTAGCAGAACAAGAGTGCGAAGCCACGCGTGAGGTGTACTTACCCCTCGACAGGCGATATGCGTTTGCAGATGTTTGCAGGGGGGATGAGGGCAACAATGTGTGAGGTGAGCTTTCTGACGGGGCGGCTTGAGGTGTAGACAGTGTAGACCGACGTTAATGCTCGAGCCGCGGTTAAGCGGCCGTAGTTATGGCCGAAGTGCTTTCGACGTACCAGGAACTTCCCCTAGGCAAGTCCGAGTGTGAGTGCTGAAGGCCCGATTTGTCGGGCGTGGTTGTTTCGTGCGATGCTGGCTGGAGTTTATTCTACTGGCAGCGCCCGACCTTCCCAACATAGAGATGGTGCAAAACGCAAGTTGAGGCCCTCATCCGCTGTGCGCATGCAATGCACGAAGCTCGACACGGTGCTCGCTTCGGCGTGGCAGGTGGGCCACAAGTTACTAGTAGCACTGACTGACCTGCATACCGCGAACATTCTTTCCATTAGATTCGACTGGCCGATTGGCTAGTGGAGGAATCTGCTTGCTTTGCACTCCCTCGCTGCAGATATGTTTTTCATGGACTGTTTACGTGCTTTCCAGACACTTCAACACTCTTTAAACTTTAAACCCCTGGAGCCCGAAGTTGCAAACTCAGGGCTCAACACGGATTCGCTGACGTGCGACTGGCAGACGCCCATCTGAAGGTCGAGGGGGCTGTCAGGATCTGCTGTTTCATTGCCAGGAGCAGGTGCCGATAGTTTCTGTATGTGGTTCAGCTTTTGAAAGCTGGGCTCTTTGCACTGCTACAGTTGTGAGGCGAAGGTGAAGCTGCTTTCAGATATTTCTGTCACGGCTGCCATTGATTTTCTCGCTTCTGGGAGGGGCTCATGGGCAAGGGCCGGAAGGGTAAAGAAATGCTAGGCATCATGACAAAAATCAGGCGAGGCATGATTCAAATTCAATGCAATCAACATTGCTCGTTGGTTTCCCTACTGCATCCCCGAAAGAGCCTCACAGATTATGCAATGATGTTATAAAGAGACTGCACTATATAATCGCACATATAGGCTAATACACATGGAACAGTGAAAAACAATATAGTTAAGATAGAATGTACAACCTGAACAGAGAAGACTCGCGGTGTTGACTATATAGCACATACTGTGCAACAGATTCTGCTAAACTAGGTAGAAGACTATCCAAGACGTTAAAACATGATATTGAACAAACTAGCAGGTAAGCTACATGTATGAAACATCTTATGGGTATATCGTTATGGTAGCATTTAGCGTAATAGACAGATATGCACATATACATTTGCATATACATATACATACATATATATATATATATATACATACACATACATATACATCTACGTATACAAAGACATACGCAGATTCAGATGCAGATGCATGTACATGTGTTACAGAGTAGACCAAGACACATGTGTATATATGTATATACATACATACATGTACATATACATGTATACAAATACTGCAATGCGGTCTTCGACCAGCCAAGTGGGAGCCAAAAAATACACAAGTATAAATATATACATAGTATACAAGGCACACTATCGGATACACAATTTGAGCGGGTGCGTCGGGCCCAGATTTGCCCACCTCAGTCAGTAGTGGCGATGAGGTTCTTTTATGTAACTTTCACAAGAGAAAAGAGGCCAACTGGATTCCTGATTGTTCATATGAATATATACTACAATATACCCCCCCCCAAACTCGGCTCTGATTATTAAGGCCCCTATTTGACCACGACTGAGGAAAGTGAAAGATCACGTGAAGTCCTGCATCTCAGCTTCAAAGCTTGCGGCTTGAAGCTTTACGGTTAGGATTTAGGGCTTGGTGCTTTTGGGATTCGAACTTAGGGTTTAGGGATCTTGTTTAGTTAGACATTGCTGAAGCATGACTTCGGTAGCTTAGAGCCGCACACTCAAGTCGTAAGCATGCTGTTCGAAGGGACCGTTCCAGCCCCCTCGCAGTAGTGGAGGTTGTGGTAAGTGTAGTCGTCTGATTATGATTATAGTTCTTATCATTCGTGTTCATCAAAGCTGAAGGCCACTACCCCCGGCATCTCACTTTTGATGCAGGCAGCCTGAACTATGAGGGCACCTCGTGTATTTAACGTCGGGGTTCGTATCCCCGGTCCGGCCTGTCCCCTCGTGCAACTGTATTGCAAGCAAGTCTGTGCTCATCCGTCTAACCCAGGCCCATCACTTTCTATCGTTCGAAACCTCGGCATGCGGAACTGCGGATGTGTGTGTCCACATACCTTTAAGCATCCATTCTGGATGCAAAGTCGGCTGCTTCCTTTACGCTGGATTGTTTCCGGCATCTTTGATTCTAGTTGGACACGTTTACGGCTGAGGATAGTTACAGGGGACAGGGGAGTCATGTTTTTTAAAGGCTGTCGCCCCATTTAAGCACCGCCCGGCCCCGCCATTTGAATTCAGCAGGGCCGGAGCAACAAAAACACCAAGTGTGCTTTCGTGTTTTTTTTGGCTCCGGCCCCGCCGACCGCCGAATTTAAGGTAGTGGAGCCCACCGGGGCGAAAGCAAAAAAACACACTCTGGATGTTCGGTGTGGACAGCAAAGACACTTCTAGGGACAAGTGACAAGGGGGGCGCGAGCGAAACGGGGCATCGCCCAAAGCCAGAACACTCTGGCCTAATGATGTTTTAGGGATTAGGGGTTTAGGGTTTAGGTAATTGCCCTGTCAGGCCAGGAGCACATCTACAATCAGGCGCCCTCTTTCTGGCTTGGCTCATTTCTTGGTCTAGGCCTTGCGGTTTCGGGGGTATGGTGTATATGGGTGTGACGGCAGTAGCAGTAGCAGGCTGGGATGGTTCATGGGATTCATGGGTGTCCGTGTGCCGTGCACACGAATTTCAAGATAGTAGGGCATCAAGAGGCAGCATCAGGCAACCGTGCTGTCTCCGACTCCTCATGGCCCGAACCAATATAAGTAATAAGTCCAGAAATAGGTTCACGACCCAAGTACCACGTATGCATACCATATGGGTACATGGGCCCTTCAAGGAACCCCTATAGTAATGCTTAATGCAACCAAGGCGGGCCTATATTAACTCTGACAGGAACCTTCTTGGGGAGCTCGGACACGACGCCAGGACGACAGCCCAGAAATCCTGGAAGCTGCCGGTGTGGAGGTACGCCTGGGAGTTCATGCTCCTTGGCGGCAGAGGTTTGGAGTTTAGGGGTTTATCGTCAAGCGAATGTGGGGATTACCGGGCGGCGGTAAAGGCCCGATGCAAAAGGGGTTTAGAGTCGAGTCAGCTGCCCTGGCGTGACGTTGCAAGCGATTTTGCAAAAAGGGGTTCAGAGTTTAGCAGTCCAGGGTTTAGGGTAACGCCCTGTATTTCTGCAACTTGAATGCGGAAGGCCCTTGCCGTCCAGTTTCAGGCGCTTAATGAAATGCACAAGCAAGCAGTCACATCTTCTATTTAGCTATATATACCTGTATACATACGTATATATATATATATATATATATATATATATATACATATATATATATATATATATATATATAAGGGCTCGAATGGCCGCAGCAGCGCGGAACTATCGGTAGCCCCAGTGCCCATGGAAGGCACGCCTTCGCCTGGTGCCGCGCTTGCGAGGCGGCATGCAGATCTTTGACAAGACCCTGACAAGCAAGACGATTACGTTGGACGTTGAGGCCAGTGGCACGTTCGACAAATTCAAGGCGAAGTCCCAAACTAAGGCAGGCATCCCGCCCGACCAGCGGCACCTCTTCCGTACTCTTTCGGATTACAACCTGCAGAAGGAATCGACCCTTCACTTGGCGCCGCACTTGCGAGGCTGCATGCAGATCTTTGTCAAGATCCTGACGCTCACCTTGGACGTTGAGACCAGTGACAAGTTCAACGACGTCAAGGCTAAGTCCCAAGATAAGGCAGGCATCCCGCCCGACCAGCGGCACATTGATATTTGCTGGCAAGCAGTTGGAGGGCGGCCGTACTCTTTCGGATGACAACCTCCAGAAGGAATCGACCCCTGGCGGCATCCAGATCTTTGTCAAGACCCTGATGCTCACCTTGGATGTTGAGGGCGAGCAGCACCTGATCTTTGCTGGCAAGCAGTTTGAGGGCGGGCGTATTCTTTCGGATTGCAACCTCCAGAAGGAATCGACCCCTGGCGATGGTAAGTACGATCGTGACATGCGGCAATATGAGTTCAAGATTGAAGGCACTAACGTTGCTTATACGATAGGCGAGCGCCTTGACATCTGGCCCCGCAGCCCGGTAGACCAGGTCCTGGAGTTCTGCGGCATGTCGACGGGTTTGTTGGGCGCTTCGCTTTCGTTAGACTCGGACCTCACACGTGTTGGTGTGTATATACGCGGTCACTGTATGCAGCGGCACGTCTGAGAGGGCACAGTGATGTTTAATTTTCCATTGTGAGGGACCTACCCTGTAGTTGGCCTCCCCTGTTCCCTGGAGGAATACGCTCAGGGTTCAAGTGTTGGATGGGCACAGTTGCGTTTGAATGTCAGCTGTGTGGGGTGTACAGCTTGCAGTTTGCCTCACCCTACCCCCTTGAGGAATAGGCTCAGGCTGAAGTTCTGGTTTTGCCCTTGGTACTTGCATGTGCCTGGGCCCAGTGTCGCGATGGCCTTCTTTGGCAATGCCTGAAGGTCTGCAGGAGTGCTGCTTTAACTTTGATGTTGGCTCCGTCTTGTCTTGATTTTGCATGTGCTCGGGGATGGCTTTTCTGCCTTAGGCGCCAGTTAAATCCTCGAACATGTGATTCCCAGCCTTAGCGCATACTGGTACGTGTCCAGATTTCTGCGCGAGGATTCCCTAATTAGATGCAAGCCAAAGGGCCGCGTCGCTACGACTCTTCGCCCGAAACAGCAGAAAACAGCAGAACATATATATATGGTCAGGCGTCTGGCGTTCCCAGCCCCCCCCCCCCCCCCCCCCCCCCCCCCCCCAATGGTATGGTCTGACAGGGGTGGGGGGGGGGGGCCCTGGCTTGTGCGGAAAGGGGTTGGGGCCGTTGGAGCTGCCGCTGGATGGTGGGGCGGTGCTGGCGGCCAGGGCTCACGCGCAAGCCCTTCGCAAGCAAGCCGTAAACCCTATGACGCAGCCCGTGCCCCGATTTTGAGCAACCTTAACTTGTATTTAAAACGCTACACCCAACCCTAAACCCCACCTAACTGCAGGCTCTAAGCCTAAAGCAGAGCATACACCGCAAATCCTCCCTAAGCCCTTGTCGACTCGAAGCCTTATACCTCGTAGCCTTAAACCCAAAACTCAAAAGCTTAAGCTAAACCCCAAACCCCAAAACCCCACAACCACCCACAGGGGGGAGGAACCCCACACCCCACACCACATGGGAGGGGGGGGGCCCCACCCTATATCCGGACCATTGACCTTTGGGGGGGAGGGGGGGGGGGGCTGCGGAGCGCGTGACCATATATATATATATATGTACGTGTGTATGTCTGTGTGTGTGTCTTATGTGCGCCTGTGTAGTATCGCAAGCCCCGAATTTTCAAGTTGGCCTCCGCAAGTTTGGTCTCAAATTGGCCGAAGAGCCGAGGCTTCTTTTGTGGATGCGAAGACGCTGCAGCTGGCGACGGTAGAAAGCACGACTCCAGGAGGTGCCTACACTTGAGGGTTAATGGGCTATATAATGGGTATATAGTAGCTATATTAAGGGTGTTTACCTGGTGGCTAAGGGTTTTGGAAGTCTAGGGGTTGGAAGTAAGTGAGGCTTCGACGACGAGTTGAGCAAAAGAATGCATTCCCGATGCGGTGATGTGATGAGGGGAGGTGCTACTTCCGACAGTGTGGCGTAGAGTCTGGCATTGAGCCAGCCCCGAATCCATTGAGCTCTGTCGGGGCTTGCAACAATCCGCAAGCTTGGGAAGCCACACAAGGAACCGAGCTCCTTACTGCCAACCATTTCATCATCGCCACTGGGGCGGGCCCGGCAGCACGGCTGAAGAAGCGAGGACTTCGAGGGGAGCGTGGGTCTTGAGATCGAAGGCAGGTTTTGTTTGGCTCAGGGGGAATTCATACTGGGGATTGCGGGCTTTACTCGGGATGGCTTGGCAGTGGGACCCTGCGAATGTCCCAGCCATACCAGATGGTCGCTGTAAGCGTCGGTGTGTCCGCCCAGATTTCCTTCCGGACCGAGGACCGAACATATTTCTCGGGAAAACACTTCTGCCCGGTGACGTTTGTTTGTGCTCTGCGGGTAAACCAAAGCCGCTACAACCTCTCCTAGACAAATGTGCCCGGAGACTTGCAGGTGATACCGCCTCTCAAGGGTCTCGACGCTGTGAAGTATGCCACATACGCCGCCCGGCAAGACTCTGAGGTTTTCAAGATGTTGCCGGCGGAAGTTTGTGGAGATGCCTGCCATGTAGCCAGCCAGCAGCTTAGATGGGATGCGGTGCCTGCGACTCCGAGGGGGTGATCTTGTGCTGCAGACTCCCCCAAGCATGCACATCAACGTTTAAGAATACTGTTTCGCAGTGTGTGTCTTGCTGCAGCTTATTGACAGAATCTGATGCTCAGCCTGTGCGAGAGCACAAGAATCACAAAAACATAGCTTGCGGTCGCACATTCCGGCATGAGGAGACGATCTTCGATTTGCCGGAATTTCCAGGGAGCCTGGCGGTAATTGGAGGAGGCCAGCAGCTGCAATGTCATGAAGTTCGGAGTTTTGCGTTCCACTTTCTGTGCAAGCGCGATGTCTTTTGCAGCTAGGAACAGATCAGGCGTGTGTGCAGCCAACACAGATTGCCTGCAAATTGCACCAGAAATACCGAGGCACCTCACTTTATCTATGTAGTCATACATAGATCGTTTGTGTGTGTGTGTGTGCGCTCGTGTGATTTCTCTACTGTAGGGTGAGAAAGAGAGCAAGGTATCAGCCATGATAGACAGCCCTAGCAGCTTTAGACGAAGCTCGGGCCTTTCAGCAGCTCTTCAGCTAGGTCCAATCGGCAGCGAGCTTGCTCAGGCTTTCGCAAGGTTGGGCTGCAAGGCATCCTGCTCAGGGCTGTTGAGAGTCTACAATAAATATAGGGATTATACGGATTTGGGGATAGTAATACTAATTACTAATAGATGAGGTGGTAGGTAGTACACCGTGGCTTAGGGTTTAGGAAGTCGTAGTAGTACTGTAGGAATGCATGGTAGAGTCTAGAGTCTACGGCAATCATGGAACAGGCTTGCCAGAGAAAGGATCTATGTCTAGCGTGTTGCAGGTAGTGCGCAGTTACGGTGTTTCGAGGTGAAACGCTGCGAAACAACTCTTGGGCCATCTGCTGCCTGCAGGGCTCTGTCCCTTTGCAGGTGACGCTGGTGGGTAAGATGATGCCACGCGAAGATGACGACGTGTGCAGACCTGAGCACGTTGTAGTGAAGTCTTTTCCGTGGAGTGCTGGTCATAATATAGGGGTCCAAATAATTACTAACACTATTTTGGGGCTCCTTACTATAATTATAGTACAACGCGCCCCAACACCCTGTTCTCCAGTTAAGGCCTCCATAGTACAACATATGAATCGCCAACGTCTTCTGAGCCGGTTTGCTTGTTTGCATTGCTGCCAGAAGTGTCCAGGCGCCACGTTATGTCGCAGGTCTTCGAGAAGGACCTTGGGTCAAGCCAGCTTTAGCTGTGATTCGGGGCGGGGACGTTTGACGCAGCTTTGCGGCGTACTAGGGGCTTCCAGCCAAAAAAGGCAAACTCACGATAGTTGAAGGCGGGATGTTTGCCGGCCGCCCCGTTTACCGGCCGCCCCAAAGCACCCAAGTTTGGAAGACTCCATGCGTATGGTCATGTCTTTCTTGTAGCGACGATAGATCCGAGTCCCTGGTCCCAACTCGAATGATTTGCTGGGTACGTATGATGTGCGCTTTTGGTAAACAGAGCTGCGTGTGCCGCCCGAATCATGTCGATTGTCTTGGGAGTTTCCGAAAAATTAGGGGTACTTTATTTTGGGGTCCGTTTCATACGGGATCCTACAATTTGGGGTACTATATTGGGGTCCCCTATTTTCGGAAACTCCCCCCTGTGTCGAGGACGGTATCGTGGTAGTCGAAGGTCGGGCGGAGTCGGTGGAGCCAGCCGCTGCCGGCCGCTTGATGGAGCTAGGCTTACCTTCGGTTAGTAGGGAATGGAAGAATGGTAGTAATAGTAGTTATACAAGTGCCCCATTCCTCCATTCCCTACTAAGCAAAGGTAAGTAGGACGACGAGATCAAGCACAGACGGAGAGGTGTTGGTCAAGAAATTCACTTTAGCCTGGAAATTTTGAGAAGTCTGTTGCGAAATGACAAAGCACCTTGCATGACCCCAACATTTTGCAGATTCATGTCAAGGCGATACCGTTTGTGCAGTATGGTGGCGGTACTCGTGCGCTTAGCTTTGCAAGGACCCGATCACCTAATGTTACTGTTGTCGTTGCAACCAGTATACGAAGCCTTACTCTCGTGTCATGGGCTTGTAGTTTTGTCAGCACCGCTACAACCGGGTCATTGTCATTATGATTGCAGTGGTCACTGTCGAAGTTCTAAGGAGGAACAACATGTTGATTTCGAGTAGTGTTCCAAGGTTCAGTGGAAGTCAGTTTCACGGTTGAATGCCTTTTCAAGCTCAAGGCATCGTCCTTCATGCTGGTGGTAGATCCCTGCCGCTTGGAAGCCAGCCAATCCCGTACCGGAGCTTGTGTCGCATGAGAAGTATGTGTTGTTGACAGTACTATTTATGCAGACTGAACGGTGGCTGGTAGCACTTTTCATTGTATACAAGTGGGATAAGTGGCGCAAGCGGGCATACTGCCAATAGTGCTCGGCCGCAGCTGGCTTATGCAGCACACATAGGTCTCGCTGGTCAACAAAGATCCGCGAATTCGCACATCGTATACATTTACGACAGTCCAATGATGCCCCGTGCCCATGCTGTCGCCTGCAGTCCTAACCAAGCATCGCTTTCCAAAAGATGTGGCGTCGCCGGAGACGTGCCATCGCTCCAGCGTGCACTGGCGCACGTGAGCGACGCTTTGAGACCGTGATGCCATGATGTTTCAGCTGGTGTCCGAGTCAATTCCCAGCCCATGCCCGGCTCCTTTGCGTGGAGCAGCTGGCCCTGGAGCTCTCTGAGCAGTTGGATGTGGCAGGCGATGCCTCGTCCAGGCAGTTTGCTTCAGCTGTTTGCTAGCCTGGAGTTCTGCTATGTTCTACTGATCCGCCAACGAACGGGGTAAGGTGTGGCGCGGTTTCAGATCAGAACGAGCATCCACAGCCGTGAGCATTTCCGCATGCTGCCGTGGTGTACATTGCCACGGAGAGTGGTGAGCACTGTTCTCAGAGCTTACGATGCGCTTGCTGTTGTGGTCTGCCAGCCTGGAGCTTTGCAGCTTTGCTTTGTTCAAAGCAATTGGAGCAGAAGCAAGAGCTGGGGCTCTGCTTCCACCCGGTCGGGTGCATCGGAGGACAGCTTAAAAGAGCAGCCGCCGAGTTGCAAAGATATTGTTTGCGCACCGTTTGTCGCATCCGCCTCCTTCAGCGACTTGGCGCAATTCAGGCACGACGACATTTCACATCGCAGCGAGCATCCACAGCAGACTGCTGCCTTGGTTGGCATTGCCACGGAGACTGGTGGTGCGCACTGTTCTCAGAGCTTACAATCCGATTTGACTCTTCGCATGGCTCCTTCTCAGATACCCAGTCCGACCCAGCCTTGACTCACGGCAAACCTCCACACCTGAAAAGGCATTATTCTTCGGCTGATTTGGCCTGAGGTCACTGGACCGTTCTCCTATGACGACGCCGTCAAACACAAGCTTTGGTCTGCATCCACTCGGATCTATTGAAACCTTCTGTCCCATGCACAATCGCCGGTGAAGATCCCGACGCCTTCGAGGGTGAAATGGCAGAGGATGGCAGGCAACGGAAGTTCTTCGAGCGTCTCTTGGCCGTTTACAAGCCTGATGCACGGAAAGCAAAGCAAATCACCGAATGCACTTTGCTTCCCAGGCCGCTGGTGGTGCATGAGGCTGGCGTCAGCGGACAAAACCCATTTCCCGGAAAGTGATGTTTGCGACATCGTCAGCGCAAACCTTGGAGCTCTCTTGGTGCGCTGCCGCGACGTGGATGTTTCTGTGAGGACTCACGCGCACAATATTGTTGGCGATCATGGGTTTGGTGGCCTGCCTTTGGTGAAGCAGTTGATTGCCGAAGCCATGCTTGGCCAGATGAAAGACCTGCTGCCACAGTCCGCCGAAATCAGCAACGAGGAGGCAATGGACTGCGCATGTTCTGCGCGCTCTGACGAAGCCTCAGCGTCTGAAGTGGGTCCCTGCTGGTCAGAGCCCTCCAAATTGAGGAGTCATTCCAGGACCAATTCCAAGCGACCCTCTCCGCGCATGTCGTTGGCATCGAAGTCTCCCTGGGTCGTACGCTGAGCCCACTGCTCACCGGATCGAATCCTCTCAGGCCTCGTAGAGTGTGGCAAAGGCAAGCTTACCTGGAACCCGGGCGCCTTCTACCTCGGTTCTACGTGGTAGAACGCGCCCGTGTTCCGAAGAAGCTTACCCTGGCCACACTTGTCGCCGTTGCCGTTCTTGAACTGGCCCTACGAAGCATGCAAGAATGTCTGAGAAGACGAAGACAGCAAACACATGCAGCGAACCTCGAAGACGCTGCCGTCCACGAGCTCCAACACCCCATGCCCGTCCTGAATTCTTTGTTTTTTTCCACAGCAATAACTCTACGTAGTATATGTGCAGCCATTCTTGTGGAAAGAATCGTGATCTGAAACTCTTGTGGCGAATTGATGATGATCCCAGACGCAGCTATGCAGAAGCAGAGCAGCAACTGAAGGCTTTCTCACAGCATGCCAACAGGTATTTGCGAGTACAGATTGGGGGGCTCCGCAACTGCTGAATTCTGTCTCACACAGCCAAACGCTCAACACACACTTCAGCGAAAAGGAAGGGGGCCCATATGCCGCCATGAGGGGTGAGAGACCAATACATGAGTGTGGTGGGAAGATAGGAACTCTGGCAGCACGCAGTGCGACCAGTGTCTTGCACAGTGTGAATTAGTGTGGGGAGCATTCACGTATCAGCAATAATGGGTGAGCAGCGAGAGTGTAGCCATTCAGTGAAATGTCTAGTCCTCGGTTGGCTTATGTTGTCAACTTGCTAACTCCTCGGGGGCTATCACTTGAACTGTACATCTCGGGCGATTTCTATCTAAGTCGCAGATCCGCCACTAACAACTGGTGGCCCCATAACGTTCAGCGTCGCTCAGCACTCTGCGAACAGGTTGGTTTTTTGCTTCCCCAATATCTAGATGTATATCTATATAGTTCTACATATATATATATATACATAACCCTAAACTCTAAACCTAGAGCTGCTACACTCAAATAGTCCTAGCAACTTGAATTAAAGCCGAAGCTCCGAGGACGTGTGCCGGACTCCTTCTGGCAGCGGGTCGCAGGCCCAAAGGCGCCTGAGACTTGCGGAATCTTCTTTAGGCATGGGATGTATACATATGCATATATATATATGTATATATATATATATATATGTATATATATATATATATATATATATATATAGGTTCCTTTTTAGGGTTCATTATGGAACCCTATAAGGTAATCCCCAAAAGGAGCTATGTACAATGGCGCCGATGGGCAGGCATGGTATGTATAGGAGATTCATAGAATCGGGCTTGGGGTTTCGGCTTGAGGTTTGAGGGGTTTAGAAGTTTAAGCTGCGCACAGGGCGAAGACGTGAAGAATTGGACATGCAGATGTGCAGAGATGCGAGGAAGACTCTGTCGTGGACTCAACGAGTCCATGACACGGCCTCAGCAGCTTAGGCAGAAGCAGCTTCAGCAGCTTCTGTCTCCTGAGTGTCAAGCGATTGAACATCTCGTCCACATACGTACATGCTCAGCCACAAACTGTAAGTTTGTACTATTTTGTACTTATAGATGAACACGGTCGGGTAAATCCGCATGCTTTTCATAGGCTGTACACGGGATGTCACTTTTCTGCAGCAGAGTCGGGCAAAGGAGTTGGAAGTATGGAAGCATCGCCAGGTGAATGTTGAGCGCACTAGATGTGACCACAGGGTTTGACGGATAACAGGCCGTTGAATCCTGAACTACGAAACCTCCTGCTTCTCAGATGGCAAGAACCCCACCAAAAACAACTTGAAGCTTGCATGAAGTTTCCACTGTGGTCTTTGACTCCTGTCCTGGCTGTAGATCAAAAGTCGAAGAGGATGCGAAGTCTTCCGTCTGATTGCACCTTATTTGGAGGTCCTCCTAATATGGATCCTCCTATTTAGGGTACTAGATCAGGGTCCCCTATTTTCGGAAGCCCCCATGTGTATCTGCACATCGGCTCCTCAGAGGGCCTGCGAGCTTAGCGCCCTTGCCGGAAGGTCTTGATGCCATGAGCTTGGACCGTGCAGGCCCTCCCAAGCGGGGCTTGTGGAAAGGAGTCTAGCTAGGTTGGATTTTGGACATTCTTTATTTTCCTTATTTGGGTTTATAAGGGACCCTATATATAAATATTTTTCAGGGTGTTTAAAGGCCAGCCCAGCTAGATTACTTGAGGGTGTATGACTGTGTTCTGGTGCAGCAGACTCAGGCGCGCATGTGCGTGACTGAGGCCCCTTACAGAAAGGGTTCATTTGGAAGAGCCAGTGTCCTCGGATCAGAAAGCGTGTCCATTTGGATTGAGGGTCAGGGCCTCTTCAGTTCGTGTGCTGCGATCATGCGAGTGATATCTCCCTAGCTGCTTCCCAGGCATATCTTGGAAACATGCTGAAGGCTGTTAGCGACATGTTCATGGTGCTTCATGCTCGTAATTTTCTTCTACTTACCTTTGGTTAGTAGGGAATGGAGGAATGGGGTACAATCATAACTACTATTACTACCATTCTTCCATTCCCGACTAACCAAAGGTAAGTTCTAGGATTATTACGGCCCCTATATTATAGTACCCTTATAGATCCCTTATAGTAACCCTTATAGACCCCCTTTACAAGGCCCCTTCTGTGGAGTTGTGATGGAGTGCGGCCCAAGGAAGGTGCTACACTGTGCCAAGCCCGAGAGGTTTGGAGCCTAGAGCTGGGCCAGCATTGTGAGATACTGATAAATTACGATGACACTACTAGTAGTAGTAGTAGTAGTAGTAGTAGTAGTAGTAGTAGTAGTAGTAGTAGTAGTAGTAGTAGTAGTAGTAGTAGTAATAGTTAGTAGTAGTTTTGTTCCACATGAGCAGCCTTTCAAGTGGCCAGACACTTGATTGCTGACCCAGCCAGGCGTCAAATGGAGCCAAAACGGGATTCCCGTGGATGCCCGCCGGCAGCAAGAAGCAGCTTCGTGACGCTCGCTTTGTGCTTGCTTCACGTGCCATTCTTGTGTGTGACTTTGTGCGTGTGCAGAGGTGCAGTTTTTTTATTCATTTGTGAGAGTGTCTCTTGTTTGTCTGGGTGAGTCAGCCAGAGTCCGTTGCGACATGCCCTGCCACATGCACTAAAGTGTGTATGTTTGCCATCATCTCCTCAGCTCCCGGCACCAACCAGTCTGCCAATACGCTCCTCAAGACATCCACTTTTGCCTCGTTTGTGCCTGTTGTGCTACGGTTGATGCCAGGCGAAGCTTCGAACATCTGCGAAGCACATTTATGCAGCTACCTGCCGGCAGTTCAGGATTTCAATGCCCGGGGCATCGCACGAGCTTGAGAGGCCGGAGGGTGAATACAGACGTCCAAACTTTGGATTCCATGGGCTGTCACCGTCACCCCTGTCCTGAAAGACGAATCTGTCTTGCAATTAGTGCTGGCCGCAACTAGACTCCTATAGACCAAAGGTTGGAGACTGCCTGGGCGGCCTTCAGTTCACACATTTGGCCGGCTACCAGGCGCGAGGAAGGGATGTTGGAACAACGCGGCAAAACCATGTCACAGCTTCCCGTCGCAGGTGCAGCCAAGGTTCAAGCAGTCCTGTTGCTTAGTTTGCCGTTTTGCAGAACGATTGCAGGGCGCCCTGGCGGCTTTCAACGCTGTGCAGCCAATCTCTCTGGCAGGGCCTGGAAATGTGGTGCCACCGGCTGCATGCAGTAAAATGTTGTAACGAAGCCAAGTGTGCCTGAAACACCAACCCCATGCTGTACGGATGTGCGGCCGGGGAAAGATCGTCGGCCCTTGATATGTATGCGCCCAAAGTGTTCTGAAAGGCCTCGCCCAGTAGTCGTTTGCCGTGTTGCTAGCCACATGTAGGCGCGGTCTCTCGCGTATAGATTATACAACATGTACTAAATGTACCGTTACATTGAGGCCCGAGAAATGCGAAGCAGATGCGAATTACCATCCCATTCCTACGTTCTTATATGATCTTTTTTTCTCCCTGAGTGTGACTGCCTGGTTTGACCCAGGGGCAGCACCAGATGCAGGTGTGGGCATATAGGAAACAAGCTCGATGTGGCCGCTGAATACTTGGAGGATCATGGGACTTTGCGAACGGACTGCGATGCCTTGTCAAGTTCTAAGGTGTCACTATAAGAGCTGTGAGCAAGACCGTGTAAAGTGCAAGAGAAGGGGGCACGCTACGCGTCCCTCGACTCAAAGGGGGCATGCTACGCATCCCTCGTCTTTACCTTTCTATGTGACCGCCAACGCAACGTTTGGCTCAAGTCAATGCCCATAGCTAAGTGCTATATGTGTCTTCTATCCTGAGCAATCAGAGCTATCCCGTTGCACAGACGAACCGCCGCCGGCAGTGAGTGCAAAAGGAACGGCCGCCGGTTCTGCCTGCATAGGATTGCACGTGTGGAAGTAAGAGGGAGAGACAGGGTCCAGTCTGTGGAGAGTGCAAGCCAGCCACACCTACATTCATTACAGCTCTGGTGGGGAGAGCAGCAACCAAGTCGAGATCAATCCCCCACGCAGGTTATCAGCCGTACGCGGCTCTGCCTTTCTACAGCAACGACTACTTGATCTACTACGACCACAATGAACTCAGGATCAAGCCAAGATACGACAATGACTTTCGGTGCCGATGTGGCAGCGCCAGCCGTTGGTGAGTCAACAGCTGATGACACAGTGGTGCAATCCGTTGATAGCTCCACGGAAGATGACAAAGGTCAATCTTCTGCGCTTGCCATTGCAAAGGCAGTTCCCAAGGGGAAAGCAAAGAGTCTACCAAGAGCATCTACGCCTTCGCGTCCGACATCCACAGGTTCGAGGACGGGCAAGGCTTCAGAACGACGGGCCGAAGCGTCTGGTTTTCAGGCACCTCGGACTACGTCCAGGGCCAAGGACAAAGGAGTCAAGACCTTGGAAAAGAAGTCAAGACCATCATCTTCGAGAAGCTCTTCAGCACGATCGAGGACTTCGGCTACTCGTGGGCGTGACAAGTCCATGACTTGGAATCGGATGGTTACCAATCAACCACGCGATGCTGACGATCTGGATATGACTCTGGATACGATTCCTGCACGTGGTGATGCGTCGTCCGTGGCCACGCCTGCCATAGCCGATGGTCCGAACGCTTATCAGGAGCTGACGATTTCGCAACAGTTCGAAGCATCGAACCTTGCACAGCAGATGTACTATCGCAGTCAGGTGCAAGAATACGAAGGAATCGTCCAGACCCTGATGGACAAGATCAAGGAGATGCAACAAGAAGATGAAGGATCTGGAATTCGCATTGAAGAATTGGAACGACAACGTGACCATGCATGCTTAGCCATGAGGCACATCAACAATGTCAATCAGGAGATGAAGCGAGACTATGAAACAGCTTTGTTTCGCATGGATGAACAGAACTCTGCTCAACAACGTCAAGCACATGCCGTTGCCGAGGAGTTAGCTCAACAGCTACACGTGTTCCGCACGGAGGCAGCCACTAACTTTGTGCAGTTGGAGGCAAGAGCGCAAGGCGATGGTGAGCTTATGGCACGTGAGTATGAGCGTCTGACTCATGAACTTCATGAACACGCCAGAGAGAACTTGGTCCTCCGGTCAAACACAGCAAGTTCGGAACAAGCCTTACAAGCAATGCAGGAACGATTCCACTTGGTCAAGAACCAGGAGTTGCGGGCTGTGAACGAGATCCAAGGGCTAGCTGGAAACAGCGCAGCCATTGATCAAGAACGATTTCGGCTTCGCGAACGTCTTGGTGAAGAGGAAGAGTACCGCAAAATGGCTGTGAAGAGGATGCAAGAAGCAGAGGACCGACTTCATCAGAATGAAGATCATGCAAGGCGATCATTGCCTACCTTGCACGACGAGCTGAGTGAACTCAGGAAAACGCTCAAAGCACAAGAAGATCTTCAAGCGAGGACACGCAGCGAATTGGAGGCAGCGCGGAACTCCAACTATGGTGGAGCGACGCGGCCTTCGAGCATGCCCATGTCTTCGAGGACTACTGAGTCTGGCTGGGAGCACGTAGGAAAGGAAGTAGTGCCTGCATTTTCCGTAGGAGGTGAGGTACGATCCCCTGAAATACGGTCCCCAAGTCAAGTTAGTCCAGTCGCCAAAGAGAAGTTCGCATTCTCGGAATCGGACAAGGACAAGAACCTTGTGATGGATGGAATTCCATTCACCGGTGGAAACTTCTTCACTGGCCGCAGTTCAATGCCAATCGTGGCGGATGCAATGCCCGAGCACTACGTGCCAGGTATTAGCAGCCCAGCACTTGCGCGTTCCACGCCTAGTGCAGCCACTTTGTTCGGCATACCAAGCGGATTTCATGGGAAAAGTGATGCGGCAGCCGTGCGTGATCGACAGCTACGCGAACTCTTGGAGGATCGCGGGATGTTGGGATCGAAGTCCACAGCATCTGCCAGCTCCTCAAGACCTGTTGGTGTCGACGGTATCACCGCATCTACGAAGGGCAACGACCTCATCGGTCCCCCTATTGCCTATGACGATTCCATTCATGAAGCAAGGAGACGTCAGATCGAGAAAGAGGTCGCGGAACGGTACGAGGAGAAGATTGCCGATCTGCGAAGCGAAGTACTCAAGGCCCAGAAAGCCGAACAACGTCTCAGAGCTGATCGTGATGAGTGGAAGTTATTCGCTGAAACGATTCAGGAGGATAATGGAGACGATGACGGTGACGAGGCTGGCGACGAGAACGAAGATGGAGAGCACGATGAAGGAACCGGCACGGGGTATGACCCTCCTGACCCGCCTGACGATGATGATGATAAGAAGAAAAGCGGTGGAGGCAAACCTGAATCGGATCCTGGCTCGCATGCGCGTGATCCTGATGGAGACGCGGATCCTGAAGTCACAGAGGTGAGAATTTCCAGGAGGGAAGCCGACAAAGTGACCGTTCCTCCATGGCCTACTCTCACTCATCTCAACAACTGGCGATCCGTGTGCACGGCCAATGTCTTAGGAGCATCAGCCGACCCACATCATGAGGACTGGATGTTATGGCTGGCACCAGCGTTCAACCCATTCCCTGATGTCGAAGCATTGAATGATTCAGGACACAAGAAGTTCAAGAGCATAGACGTCAAATTGGGGATCGCCATGGTCGCAATGCTACGTGCCGGTGGTGACAAATCAGCTGACCTGTACCTTGAGGTGAACCGGAAGGCTAACGATTACATCAGCAGGCCCGACGGGAAGATCATCAAAGGACGACAAATCATTGCGATGATGTATGAAAGTTTCCGAACGCATGATCGTCTCGACATGATCATCACTCTTGAGTATTTGGTGAAGCTCCAGTACCAAGGCGACAACAAGCTTCATACGTTCAAGCAGACGTGGTTGGAAGTTCTGGGACGGATGAGACCAGAGGACATTCCATCCAAAACAGCTCTCCGTGATTGCTTGTACAGCAAGATCAAGGACTCGCCCGCAATGAAGATGGAGTTGGGCATGCATTACGAACACTTGCCCTACAATCATGAAGACCGATCGTACGACAACCTGATGAAGATCATTGACCGTACTATCATGCGGAGACGAGAACAGTCAAATCTCACTCAGACCCAAATTGGCTTGCGCCAGATGCTTGAGGGCAAGGATTTGCTTGCTGCACCGGCCAAGGTACCCGAGAAACCAACGCCTAACGCAGCTCCATCCGCAAAGGTCAAGGCTTCGCCGACCAAGCCGGATAAAGCAACACCTGTACTACCTCAAAGCAAAGCGAAGAGTCATGCGAAGACCAAGCCAAAGCCCAAGAAGAAGACGAGGAGTGAGTCAGCGGACAACAGAGGTGACAAAAGCAAGAAGCAAATCCGCTGCAAGTTCCATTTCACAGATGCAGGGTGTCGAAATGGTGATAAGTGTCCATTCAGTCACTCGAAGAAGACTCCAGAGCGACCCTTCACGCCGAGGACGAGAACTCCAAGTCCATCTGGAGGAGGAGGAAACAGGATATGCTACTCGTTCAAGAACACAGGCTCGTGCTCAAGAGAGAATTGTCCTTTCAAGCATGAGGCAGCAGCTACCCCAGCTCCGGAACCAAAGGCAAAAGCTAAAGCTAAATCCGAAGCGAAGGCAGCTCCAGCGAAGCCGAATGCCAAGGCCAAGGCACTCCCTGCGGCACCCGCCATCAGATTGTGTCGAAGGTGGAATCCATCAGCTCCGGCTATATGGAAGCGATCTTCAAGACAAGATGAGGAGGAGTCAGATTGTCCATCCGTTGACAGCGACGCTGATTCGGATTGTTCAACAGATGACGAATCCTCGGGAACGACTACGTCGACCCGAAAAGAGATAAAGCGTAATGTGACGTTCGCCGATGACGTGAAGTTCATTTCTTCGTGTCCTAGAAGATCGAAGAAAGACAAAGAGCGGAAGGTGAAGTACGTCGACATGGAAGCGTTTATCAATGATGAGGACCGCGCCGTGAGCTTGGAATTCGCCAAGCACAAAGCGAGATTGAGGGCACAGATCATGAGAGACATGGTTGACGACGATGATGATCAATGCGGAGATCGAGTTTCATTCGTACGAATCCCAGGAACGCCTCGAGTGGAAGAAGTTTCTTTCTACGACGGTGAGGATTCCATCGTTGAGCGCGAACTCGATGCTGCACACAGCAAACGGATCATCAATCAAGGCGTATTCAAATGC